ATAGACATCAATAGCTAAAGTGACAATGAGAATTAATGTAAAACCACCTACATTAATCCACCCTAAAACTTCAGCTTAATTCTTGCTTTAATCAAATTTAATAATATCATAAACAGAAAAGAGTATTACATTAAGCATGATTAGAATTTCTGTGATGAATATTTTAATATTTTCATAACTGTTCTCGAAAGGTTGATAAATATAAATATAACAAGAAAATACTCCTGATAAACAAGCTGTAATTAGACTCTAAGCAGCCATAAGTCCTTAAAATACAACTAAATTACAAATAAATAATGTTTTTTTAATCAGTAATATAGTAAAATACTATTTAGACCCTTATTAACCATTATTATCAATTCCTTCCACTAAAACTGATAATGTCTTTGGAACTTTGTCTTTTTTGCATAAATAAGAAAAAAAGAATGCTACCAAACACATATTCACTAGTAATGTAATTAATGCTGCTAATGAAATGTTTCTATTTAAAGTAGTATCAGTATTGTAATTTGCAATTTATAAAACGGAAGTAAAGGTTATTTCATAAAAGTTAGAAGTAAATATTCTGATTAATCCAGAGTAAATGAAATAATGATATTATTTTCTCGCTAACTTCTAAAGGGAGAAAATAAATCTGACAAGTTAAAAGAGGCTTTGTGATTAAATTTAATAAAATATAGCTGGCCAATTTTAGTATTTAACAAGAACAAGGAATTTATAGAAGATATATGAAACTACAAAATAAACAAATCCAATTATAATTACAGTGACTAGTGTTTACAAGTTATTCAAAAAGTAACAATTGATTTAATAGTATTCAAATTTCCATTTCCCTGGTATTATTGGAATTTCGAAATCAAATAAATCATGTAAATACATGTCTGTTTATAAGCTGTTTATTATGGGAGTAAAAGAGCCAATAGTAAAAATTTCAAAGTAAACTTACAAGTTTTCTGGAAATTGGAGATTGTGGAATTTCAAATATGATAATTATTAAAGCATATCAAGGAGATTCCATAAAATTTCTAAATTGCCAGCCAAAAAAGCTACACCACTTACAATCAGGATGATATACATAACAATTCGACCTAGAAGAGCTGTTTTAGAAATAAGGGATTGATTCTCATTTGACATTTTGTGAGGAGATGATAATACCAACTTTGTTTCGTTAGAGACTAGTGTATTGTCTTAAGCATTTACAATGTTCTCACATCTTAGCGTTACCTTTAACACAGGATTTGAAATGCTACTTTTAAAATAGACAAGTATCTTATATGATGCATCAGTCATTATAGAAGTAATTGAGATCACGGGTTTGATTTCAACGTCATATTCGTCATCTTTAGCCCCCTCAATAACAATAACAATCATCTAAAGAAATTGCTCATCACTAATGTTATTAATGTTCAAACGTACTTGTTCACTAAATGATAATTGGAATTCTTAATTATCTTAGTTTGTTTTTGTGAGCTTAGTAAGTATGATTTTAGGTCGAATACTATAGTTACATACACTAACATTATTTTCCTATTAGCATTTCCAGTCGCTTTCAACTTAACAAGTGTCACTACATCCATCATTATTCTATTTATTTCCATCGTCACATTATTCTAGTTGCTATACAAGAAAACTATCTCCGCAAACAGTATGACATTAAGATTCGTTTTCTAAGTATCCCTTCTCGCAAAGTAAACATATTCCTTAGAAGCAATTGAGACATTTTTAATGACAAGAATAGGAGCATTAATAACATCCATCAAATTCAATCTAATTTCCATCATCACAAAATTCGTTTCCTACTACATAACCGTCCCCACATATTGATTTACAAATACCATTAGACAATACCCAACCCTTCTTTTGACAATCTTCGCACACAGAGCCATTACAAATATTACATCCTTATGGACATTGTATTTGACATTTATAACAACCATCATAAGGGAAATAATTACCATCGTCGCATTCTTCTTCTTTACTAGAGACAATGCCATCCCCACAGAAATCAATACATTGATTGGAAAAACATTAATTTAGAGTATCATCCCAGATGCATTCTACATTTTCGCTATCTGTATAGCAGGCTTCTTTTATTTAGTAATTGTGACAATGTTATTTTATAGTACATCCTCCTCCTTATTTAGCAGTGCAAGTTGAAATATACGCATTGCATTCCTAATATTTTGTAAGAGAAATTGATGCTGTTCCACAAGTTTTTGTATAACATTTGTCATTAATCCAAACACATGGATTGAGATTGATATCAAATGTACAACCATCCATACTATTAGTATCTTCGCAAGCTTTTCGCAACACACATTGATATCCATTTGTCGCACATTTCTTGCTTTCGAATATTGAAGCACAAGCTGAATCTATAGCATAATTATAATCAAAGCACTCTTTTATACGACAACCACCTTTTGAACAAGTAGAGAGAAACCCCATACATTCAGAATGGGATTGGGCAAGCGGAGGACCATTCTCGCATATCTTCTCTAAACAAATACTCCTGTCCTCATTCCAGAAACAGTTCACCCCATTTAAATTCATTTGCCCTTCACTTTTGCATTAATTATATGTGTATTTCATGCAAAAGGATTGGCCAATCTCGCATCCATTCAAACTTTCATTTACGGTACAAGAATTCCCAAAATACTAATGACAACTATGTGCTGAATATAAAGGTAATTGTGCAGTTAAACAGTTCTTTATTGTACATTTATTTTAATCTATCATCCATTGGCATTCTACATTATTTGAATCAATTTCGCATTATTCTTTGATTAAATAGCTGCTGCAAACATTTAATTATTGGCATCCATCCAAAGTTGAATTAACTGTACAAGATTTTAACCTTGAGTTACATTGTTCATGTGTTGTATATGATGCTTACAAGTTTGAACATGTAAAGTTGACACATTGATTTAATGAGTCTTAAAAGTAGCATTCGTTTCCAAATTAATCTTTATAACATTAGGTTTTCTTTGCTAAAGAACAGGAAAATGGAAGGTCTACACATTGAATTTAATCTAGTTTAACAGTACAACTTTTATTTAAAAAATAGGATTCGCATTGTTAATGAGTGTTATTTGAAATATTTGCTTGAGTGCAATCTTCTACGCATCGATCATCATTGCTATTCCACTAACAGTTAATTAGCCAACTATCACACTCTGCTTGATTAATCGAAGGTGTTGGTTTATTTGAGCATGTTTTCTCTAAACATACAGTACCATCCCAAAAGCAAGGGATACCTTATGAATTAATTGTAAATGAGCACAAGGGTTCATCAGAGTATTTGCTACAATCACCAATTATTTAACAGACAAAACCATCCCAAAAACATTTTGTAGTAAAAATAGCACAGTCTGTACTAATTGTTAATATTTAACAATCTAGAATTTGACATTCCGCGTTATTAAGCGACATACAAGAATCCTTCCAACTATAACATGATAAATGTGTTAAGGTCATTAAGTAATGCACTGCTGCTTGACAATAAATTATACAAGCGTTAGAATACCAAATACAGTCTATGCCATCAATCGTGCTTACACAAGCCTCTTAATATGTATATTCTGAACATTATTGTTTTTTGACTGTGCACTTTTAGCTCCATGTTATACTGATTGTCTATTCCACAGAAGAATTGTTGCAATCCTGATGTGATGTAGGTGAAGTCATGCTAGTTCCACTGCAATATTTAGAATTAGAACATTTAGTACTGTAAAGTGAACACCAATAACATTTTGTGGCAACTGGCTAAATATAACCATAACTGTTTTCACAATCAAATTAATTTGTAAACTCATAACAATATTTGTTTGTGCAAATGTATGACCCTTCCCCATTGTCAATCCATTTACATTTTTCGCCATTAGAAATCTTTGCTGAACTACATATGGTAGAGTCCTTAATTTGACTACAATTACTAAAAGCACATCCTTAACCTAGAGTGTAATTTAATCTACAGAATGTGCTATTACTTAATAAGCATTCCCGATTTGTCACTGCAGTTGTGTTAAGATCACAATTAACGTGATTTACGCATTTACCATCTTACCAAAAGCATGGCAGAGAATAACATTGTTAAATAATATCAACTTTTGTACAATCTCCTGGGAAAGTTATACAACCACTAACACTCAAAACACAATTGTATTACCAATTAAAGCAAATTTCTTTTGAAATGGCATAATTGGAAGTCAAATGCTCGCATTTTCTAATTTCGCAACGATTAGTTGATGAATTTCATATCCACACTTTCCAGTTTTCATTCTAATTATTCTGAGGAATTACAAAATTACTGCTTCCTGCTAGCCGCATGAAGTCATTGATAAACAACAATCACAAGTTGTATCATATCTGTATGATGATGAATAGTCTTAACATTATCTCCTTTTGTCTGTGATGGTCGCTGAAGAAGTAAAGGTATAGTTTTTTTACGCTGTCTATATGGCGCATTAATTATTGCATTCAGGACATGAATACTAAAAGTAACATAATTATCCAGACTGTGTTTTCTGACCATCACAATTACTATAAGAAGGATATTTGTACTAACAGCTAGTATCGTAACGACATTTATCTGAAAAGTTACAACTATAATTATTTCTCATAATGGCATTGTTGCAAATCGTATTCGATAAATCATAACATGAATACAGAGAAAAGCATCCTTACCCACTTGGTTGAAGTACGCAAACGGTATTATATAATTAACAATACTCATTACTTTTGCTTTCAGTGATTACCTCACATTTCGATGTTGATACCCCCTAACATTTAGAATTATAATAATAGCATTTATCATCCTAAGTTGTAAGAGTTAATTTACATATCACAGAATCTGTAATATTCCTACAAGATGAGGGTCTATTTTCACAACCAGGCCCATAAGTCCCATTAGACTTAATTTTCAATTAACATTAATTAAACCTCCTGAACATTAAACATTCAGCCTCAGTTTAAGCAGTTGTATTATCAGCACAAACTCTATCCTTGCATTTTTAATTCAAATTATCCCATTTGCAAGGTTGCTATTAATTAGTGATCTCGCATTATTGTTTATATAGATACTCACAATTCGATGCAAGAGGTTAACAGGATTTAACAATATTATTTATTGTGCATTTAGGCGAGAATTCTTAGCAATCCTGGTGAGTTACGTCTCCATAAAGTCTCTTATGACAATCAGCAACTCCATCATTATCTTAGTCCTCATTCATACACTTTTGTTCTTTATCATCCCAATAACAAAATAAGCCATTTAGAGTGGTCTTACAATTCCTTTCCCTGATGAACCCATCACAAGTTGCTTTTTTTATTTCGCATCCTTCAGCACTAAAGGAGGAAACTACAGTACATTTAGGATTCCATGCATTGCATTCCTGATGATTATCATACATGCTAATGTTTGGAGAAGATGAACAACTAACTGGATCGATTCGGTCTTTGCATCCACCCAGAAGATGATCAAAAATACAATTATTAAACCAGCTGTTACATTCAACATTATTGGTGTAGTTTATTTTAGGAGCATCTGAACATTATTATTTCTTACAATAGGTCCCAGTCCAAAAACACTTTGTTTAATCTTATAGATTCAATTAACACTGTTATTGACTTACCATTTTAGTGCAATTAGTTGGCCATATTTGACATCCAACTCCAGAAGGTCCTAAAATGCAAGGTCCAGATAACACCTTAAATGAATTGCAATCCTCATTTGTTAAATACAAGCTAGGATTTGCATCAGTGCAAAGTTGATCTTAACATTTCTTACTACTTTGATCCCATTTACACAACAATCCTGAAAATGTAGTGTAACATTGATCTTGAACTGAGAGTGTGCAAGAGCTCTTTTTATCCATGCACCCAATCAGGATTTTTTAATTTGATAAAATTTATACATTAACTGTACATTATGGCATCCACCCTTCACATTTTGAATTAGTATCATAAGAACTAGGAGCAGTTTTGCATTTCTTCTCTACGCAACCTTAATTGATTGTGCAGACTGTACCAGTAGAGTCAATTGTACAATATTCTATCTCCAAAACATTTTCACATAAGTAATCTGTACATCCCAAAGTGTCTAAATTAAATGTGCAATATTAACTTGCCATTTAGCATATTTTATGATTTTTATAATTTGGCAATTTCAATTTCTTACATTCTAATAATTCACACTTACCACCAAGCCCAAATGCACCTTTCTTTGTTAAAGTTTAATTCGCAAAACTATTTCTGCAGTATCTCTTCGCATAATTATGGAGTCGTCTAACACCCTCCATTTAATTTCCCGATACAATTTCCATATTCTTTACAATCTGTGTAAGTATAATGAACTGGAGCATGATAACACAATCTTTTTTCGCATTTTCCTTTATACCACACACAATCTTATTATTCTAATGATTTGCAATCCGTCTCATAAACATAACCATCACATGTTTAAGGTCTAATTTTACATCCTTTGTTTTCTGAAGTAACACAATCTAATTGATTGTCATAATCTTAACATTATTGATAATTCGTAAGAGACTATGGGGCAGTGCTGCAGCTCTTGATTTTACATTTATTTTAATGATATTCACATTTTTTACCCGAAGCATCTGTTCCACAAGCCAATTTATTCTCAGCATCTTCACACTACTTCCTTGTTACACAATGAACTCCATTAGTTGTACATTAGCTTAAATACAACTTACATTCGTAATCCTAAGAAAATGGTAGATTTTCACACACCTTTTCAACACAATTATTACTTTTTGAATCCCAAAAACAATTTAGTTTTTTTGATTTACTTTCAAAGCATTAAAAATTATTTAAATATTATGTACAAGATTCCATTTACTCTATACATCCGAAGCCCTTGTCACTTATGGTACATCCATCTAGACCTGATTTACATGTCTAATGATCAGATAAATATAGAGGCAACTCCTCACACATTGTGACATTTCTACAATTTTTCTCTAATCCTCCAATCCAAACACAGTACTTGCCGTGTTAATTTTTATTAGCACATCCGTTCTCAGTTGTATAATCACTGCAATCTTAGATTTCCACACACTTTGAACCATCAGAAACACATTTATATGACGATTCTTAACAATTATCTTTATCGAAATTCTTGCAACCCAAGAAATCTATGCATTCACCAAAGTAAAAACCACATTACTCTTATTATCTGCAATCTTCTTACGCATAGCTTTTGCATGAATTTTAATTATTTATCTCTGTATTGTAAGATTGGTTGACATTTAAAATACACTAATCATTCCACCAAATGCAAAATCCAGAGTTTTTGCAGTCTTTTTAATTTTAAACATGGCCACAAACACATCTTTTGGAAATCTCTAAACTCCTTATTATACATAATTGGAGCAACAAAAGTATATAGTGCATAATGAAAATCATTTAATTCTTATTTAAAACTAATTAAATATCTTAATTTCAATATTTCATTTCCATTCTTCTAAGGAATAAAATGATTTTTCAAATCAATTCTGATGTAGGAATCAATATTATATCATACGAAAATTGAAATGTATATTAAAATTCTTTATCCTTTCAATTAGATTGTATTTTATTTACTAATTGAATTGAATTGAAATTCAACGAATTTATGAATAAGAAAAAAGTTGTATGTAAAAAAAAAGTTTATTTAAGAATAATTTGAAAAGGTTTTGAAATAGATTGAATATTTAACTCATGTTTGATTTCAATCACTTTTTTAATTGATATTTACAGAATGAAATGTTATAGAAAATTCATTCTAAACTTTTGAATTAATTTATTATTATAAATTAATTCACTAAAATAAAAAGTAATCAACCTGGAAACTTGAACTTGGAACTTTCAGGTTTAAGCAACATTTTCCCTCCAAACTACTTGAAATGGAATTTGTTATTTTTTTCTCATTCTTCAATCAATTTGAATATCTAGAAATAAATAATTTGAGATATCACTTTAGAGTTGTTTTTTATTAAATTTCAAGTATAATGTTGGATGCATTTTCTGGATTGTGATCAGCGACCTTAACTAAGAATTTTGAATAGTTACGATTTTAAGTTAAGTAAACATAAATTAGAATAATATCTTCACCATTTTCTTTTTTATAATAAAACTTGTAATATTTTTTGGAAGACCTTAAATTTCTTTATATAAGTATAAAGAGGAGTGATATTAATCATTTGTAAAAATAAAGATTCAAAATAAACTACTTAATTAAAATCAATGTTATGCTGTAGAACCAAAAAAATTCCCTTGTTAAAAATTAAAATGCCACACAGAAGAGAATGAAAATTTTAATTTAAGTTGATAGATGAGTCAAACAAATAAAGTAGAGGATCCTAAGGAATAGCCTTTAATTCAAACGGCATTTTATTAGTAACTGATGATTGGAGAAAAAACTTTTTGGAGCTTTACAAAAGGGATAATATATTGAAAAGTTTAGTTAGTTTCTAGTAAAATAAAAAACTTATCTATTGACTCTGATTGCGCTTCTATTAGAATATGGAAGTAGTAGAATGACAACGAATAGATTTTCTGATCCATAAACTTAGCATTAGATTGCAATATTATACTTTTCCTTAAATGAGTAGTAAGAGGTATTATTAGCTGGTGGTGCAGATTTATTTTAACAGCATGAGAAGTAGTTTTAAATCTGAATTAAGTAATCTATATTTAATCTTTGCAGAAACATACATTTGATCTTTTACTCTAGTTTGGATTTTTCTGAAAATTAATTGGTGTCTTATGGTTAATAATCATTATTTGGTAAAGAAAATATGAATAATAATGTATGTTATTATGGTTTCTAAACTTTAGAAGAAAAATTAACGAAATAATAATCATGTATAAACAATTGCTCTAGTTAAAGATGATTCCGTTTTTATTTGCAAATAAAGTTAGCAATTGCAATAAATACACTTGTGATTACATGCCAACCTAAACTGAATGTGAATCTTAAATAAAAAGTAAAAGGTCTTATTTCTTAAATAATTCCTGTATTTCTACTAATGATTGCTCAAAAATACCAATATATAATAAAGCCTTGTTTTTTTTTTCTGGATTAATTAAATGGTGTAATTCATATAAATTCTAATAGAAAACAACTATAATTCTTTAAATTTCGTCATTAATATTTTAATTTGGAAAAATATTTTCAGGTAGTGTTTGAGACATTTGAATCCCTAAAATATTAAAAACCATAAGTTGGCAGGGACTTGACAACGAAAAAACATTAGATTTTCAAATAAAAAAAAAAATTGGCATTCTCAAATCTTATAAATTTAAATTAAATTGCTAATTAAATTATTGGTTAGAATATGAATGGGATTTTGTTCTATAAAACTATGTTGTCCATAATTTAGAATTAAATTAAAATTTTATATCATACTGAAAAAAAAAAAAGAACAAGCTCAACTTATAAGTGATCAAATCTGGAATAGATAGTTAATAGCCCTTAGTTAAGCCTTCCAACAGATTCCCTAGGCATTCTCTCTATTCTAGGTTTTGGGTTTGGGTTTGGGTTTGGGTTTGGGTTTGGGTTAGGGTTTGGGTTTGGGGTTGGGGTTGGGTTTGGGTTTGGGTTTGGGTTTGGGTTGGGGTGGGT